TTGATCGGGTGAAATAATTTGGTCTTATATTTATGTTTTGACCTCTTAAGCTTGGAGTTTTAAATCTTTTATGTTGCTTTACTTCAAGTTGTTTTTGAGTGTTTTTCATATTTATTATAGGTTTTGTTGATGTTCCTTATAACAATATTCAGTAGTCTTTGGTTCTACATCTGTTGTCTTTCACTTTTATTTTTCGTATTTGTTATAGGTTCCGTTGATGTTTCTTCTAATGATCTTCAGTAATCCTTGGTTCTATATCCATTCTTTTTTTCTTTTGTTTTCTAGGTGAGTGAGATAATCTTTAATATGCAAGTAATATAAATAAATATGTATGTTGATTATATGATGAGTACAACTAGTTAATTTTTTGAATATTATATATGTTGTTTTATTTTTCGAATACTTATCTATTTTTGAATTTACACTCCCATTCTGTTGAATTAAATTCTATTCGATATCACATTTGATTGTTTTGATAATGATACGAATATTTGTTATATCTAGATATAAAACTCATCATAAACTCCATACTAAAAGAGAATAGTTAGTCTATGTGTACATAATCTTATGTATACCTAACTGGTGAGAGAGGCATTGACTTGTTGTGATTGATCCTCCCATAGTGGTCACAGTCGAGTGTTATTTGTTTAATTTTAGGTGTCATCTAATCTTTGACATGTATTCTATTACTTTATAATAATATGTTTCGAATATATATTTATATCAAAATAGATATAAATACTATTTTTTCCTTGAGTTGGTTGAACTTATCCCTCATTTTTAATATTATTTCAGTCTCAAACGGATCAGCTATCTTCCCCTCACGAGACAGGGGGAAGGACATGAGAAAGTTTGTGGAAACTTCCATGCTGAAGTCACATTTGCTTACAAGATATCATGCTTTCAGGCAGATCAATTAACAACAGAAATCTTCATTGAAGTAACAAGCCGCGCATTATTATCCCGCTAACAAATTACACACGTACGCCAGTGAGATCTCAGTCGAAATCCAATGAGAAACGTGACTAACACCGTTTTTACACCAAGGTTTTCGGTTTTTGCTTGAGTTTTGGTTTAAGAAAGGTTGAATAACAAGTGATTTTTCTTATGTTATTTTTTATTATGGTTTGATCATGCAAGGATTAGAGAAGAGATTAGAATTTTGTTTTGATTTTGATTATATTGTAATTTAAGAGTTTAAATTATATATTATGGTGTTAGTTGGACTGAAATAAACTCATTTGATATCTTAATTAACTATAAGTTTGGTGAAGAATAAAAGGTTTATTTTAGGGATCTACACTTTAGAAGACTTGCATGTTTCTATTCTAGGAATCCCATTCAACCGGCCAACCGGTTTATTTGAACCAGTTGATTGGTTTGCTTGTTAATATTGGTAGATCGGTTGGCCCACGATAATGGTTGACCACTTGGTCATTCCAGTTGACCCGGCAATATAGTTTTTTTTTGGGTTTGTTAGGTTTGATAAGTTTAGGTTATGTTTGGGATTGATCGGGTGAAATAATTTGATCTTATATTTATGTTTTGACCTTTTTAACTTGGAGTTTTAAATCTTTTATGTTGCTTTACTTCAAGTTGTTTTTGAGTATTTTTCATATTTATTATAGGTTTTGCTGATGTTTCTTATAACAATATTTAGTAGTCTTTGGTTCTACATCTGTTGTCTTTTACTTTCATTTTTTGTATTTGTTATAAGTTCCGTTGATGTTTATTCTAATGATCTTTAGTAATCCCTGGTTCTATATCCATTCTTTTTTGCTTTTGTCTTTTGGGTGAGTGAGATAATTTTTAATATGCAAGTAATATAAATAAATATGTATGTTGATTATATGATGAGTACAACTAGTTAATTTTTTGAATATTTATATATGTTGTTTTATTTTTCAAATACTCATCTATTTTTGAATTTACCCTCCCATTCTTATAAAAATTAAATTTGAATTTTTAATTTTTACAATGTAATAAGTATTATGAATTATTGTTTTGCTTTATCTAATAATAAGGATTATTTTAAAATAATATTTAATTTTATTGATTTTAAAAAATATAATATTTTAAAAGATATTAAAACACTGTAAAATTTTTATATAATTTATTTTATAACATGTATGAGTTTAAAGCTTAGCATGGATTGAATATTCTCATCACTTCTGTGTTGCCATTAGCAAGGATTCGGGTCGCGACTACTAGCAGACAAGTTAGTGATCATAATGCTGAGAGGGCATGAACACCTTTTGGAAAATGTTAGCTACGCATATAATAATTTACCATGACAGTGACCGGAGGCCTGAGTCACGTTACTGCAATATTAAAACACCCTTGAGTTTCATCAGTAAAGATCACTAGAACATCCACACAAGAATAAATTGACTGAATAATCGAAATTAGGACTGGGAATCTTTACAATATCATGCCATGACAATTATTCTGATGGTGCCCATTTTTGGTCCGTCAGGCAGACGTTGTATGCTGCCACACTCAATTCTTATGCCTTCATTCTGATTTTGTTGGAAAACCCAACTAGCACAATGGCTCAGTGCCATTTCAACGTGGAAGGAAAATAACACAGGAAGACAACAAGTGTAAAGTAAGATAGAATTGGATGAATTCGTATTTTATTACTAAAAAAAAAAATACAAAATCAATCTAAAATCTCAAAAATAAAAAGAAAAATAACAAAATTGGTTCAATATTAATTGAAAAATATCATGAAGCTGGAGAAGTCTCGCTTGGAGCACATACATGCCTTCTTTGACACACTGATACATGAACAGTTGCTTGTAAACCACAAGAAATGCCTTTTCCTTTACTGATATGATCATGGTTGTGGTATTTGTAGTAGCTTTTGATGGTGACATAGCACGAGCAAAGTGGATGCGAGCTCAGTGATGGGCTAAAACAAAACACAAACTGAGCAATCACTCACTAGTCTTACCCGACAAGTGCAGGCACACGAATTATAGTTGTAAGCACCTACGTATCTCACCAATGGCGTAATAAGATGCAATAATCAACAACTCATTTCATAGGTAACCTGCACTATAGATATAATTACTCTTCGTGATAACTACGTGAGATATATAAATACTTTGAATCACTAAGCAACACGCAGTAATATTCAAATATATACTCTCCTAAGCTAATGCATCGAAGGGTCCTCTGTCTTGATAGATGACTTGTTTTTTCAAGAAAGTGAGGAATGGTCAAGCCCAGTCACCTTTGTCTAGAAGTAACCACGAACATCTCAAATCCGATATGAAGTTTTTTCAACTTTATCACTTTAGAAAAGGAAGATTGTCCTTGAGAGGTGTTGTATACTATTAATGCCTGTAAATTTCATCTTCCTAATTATTTGGAACTTTTGATGTTTTAACTTGAAGCATTGATCCCTATGCTTAATAGATGATGAAAACTCAAGAACGAGTTATCAGAAATCTAGAGAGACCGGTGGTTTATTGCAATTGGACCACGTAGAGAGTTTAACAGGTAAATTTATGGATTAATGAGAAAATCCAAGCTTAAGAAGAGGTTTGGTTATGCTAAACAACTTTTCTAACAAAAAGACCCATAACTTTTGTCCATTAAGATTGCTCGATTTGATTATTAAATCATGCTTAAATTTTCTCACGAGATTCTAGAGACCTTGTTCTGTAGGGAGCTTGCTATACTGTGGGCTCACAAGGGAAATGCCTTTAAAAATGGCTCTGATGATACTGTTTGATTAAGTTTTATTATCTCTTTGTTTTAATTTGAGATTTTAACCATAATTTCATATTTTATTTTTTATTTCTCCTATCAAATTATTTAGAGATTCTAATTTTTCTTCCTTGTAAGGGTCGGTTTTAGACCTAGAACTATCGAAAGAGCTGCAATCCTTTTTTGAAAGGAAAACAATTGCATAATAAAGATTAGGGCTTTTGTTATATACCCTCTTCAGAAATCCTGATATTATTAGGTTCGACCGCATCAAAAGGCTTACAAAATTTAGAAGTCAATAAAACTTCTGGTAGAAATGAAGAATCATGCACAGTGCCACCATAGTATTAAATACTGCAAAGTTACATTCTCCCTTGTGATGATCCTGATTTCTAACGTTTTAAAGATTGAAGCTGTTGCCTCGCGTTATTGAACCGAATGGTCCAAATTTTACTCTAGGAGACAAAAGCAATGCTCATACACAGTGCTTATATAACATGACACCCTTTTGATATATTGATTGCAACGATTAATTTGAACATTAATCAGTGAATATTTGGCAACTAAAAATAAAGAAGGGTCAAATTTTGCAGAATAGCAGGCCGTGACAGTTATTTTGATGATTACTGCTTTTGCTGCGTGAGGTAGATGCTGTATGCTTCCACAATTCTGTGCCTTTGTTTTGTTGTTATCTGCAAATCCAAGCAGCATAGTCTAGTATTGGTTTCCCATTTTCACGAGATAAGAATAATAAATTTAAACGGTAATTCGATAAGGCCATATTGCTATAAATGCTGTCAGGAAATCCTGTCTTGCATCAAACACAACCAGCTGAAGAACCGTGAGAGAATGAAGGCTTTTAGCATGAAAAACTCTGTTTTTCTCCTAGCTATTCTAGTCTTAACCTATACTTTACATATTGAAGCTCAGCAATGCCATCCAAGCGGCCGGATCAGGGGAACGAATCCTCCTCCGGACCAATGCAACCAAGAGAACGATTCGGACTGTTGCAAAAAGGGCAAGTACTACACAACCTACAAATGTTCACCGCCGGTGTCCAGAAGCACAAAAGCAACCCTTACCCTGAACAGCTTTCAGAAGGGTGGGGATGGAGGCGCACCATCAGAGTGTGACAATCAATACCACTCCGATGACACACCTGTGGTGGCGCTTTCAACTGGATGGTACAGCAAAGGGAATAGATGCTTAAACTACATAAATATCCATGGTAATGGAAAG